TCTTGTTCATAAATGCTGGATAAAAGTCCGTTTGTCCTTGGGTATCAACTGGAATCGGGTTTCCATGCCTGTAAACGTATACATTACGTGAATCAATTACTCACTGTCATGTCTTACTTGCCTAATGAGGTTTTACTTGTAACCAGTGAGGTGATCTCATTTAATTTACTTGCCCCGTATAAGGGTTCCATTTAGGTGATCCAGGTAAAGGTACTCTTACCTACCTCGTTGTATTGAGACTATTCGAAGTACGTGCTCATGTATGGATTCTGGTAATGATATGCAGGTTACCGATATAGCAAAGTTTAGTTTATCATTTAGACTACTCGTTTTAATGATATCTTCTTCTTTTTTTTATTCGCATGGTATGATATCATTTAAGCTACTCCTAATATAGTATCAAATAGACTACTTATATGCTGATGGTATCTTTTCGATATACACGAACTAATGAACTAATCATACGGCAGTACGTTGGTAAATTATTGGGGGAGGGGGGTGATTTGCACCCACGGCAGTCCATTCGCTGGCACATAAAGGGTTCTCTCAGATGATAACACCCCTTTATAGAAATGGAACCTTCCAGTTTTACTATACTGAGCGCAGTGTTTGCGGTAATCGCAAAATGCCGCAATGCTAAGATGAATTTAGTGGTGTGGATGGGTTATTGTAGGGTGCGTGGAAAATATTGAAGATAAAGTTCACACGTGCTATTGTGTGCAACATTTGGATGCTGCCTTGTGGGAATGCCATTTTTTTTTTTGCGTTTTCACTAATTGTATTGTTTTTTTTATTTCCAAAATAAATTAATTTTTATCATAAAATCAGATATACATGTTGATATTCTTGTTATAACCGTAGTTGCAAATGGAACAGTATATATAGAAGCGAAATTCATCTTCATTATAATTCACAAACCAGTTTATCAGTTAGCGTTATGGGTTTAGTACATCTACTTGTTTCAATTCTGTTTAAAAAGTGGTTGCATATTCGAAATGTGTTTAATTGTACACGCATGTCATGTTTAATTTATTCATACCATATTTCTACGGTCATTTCGAAGTATATAGTGTTTAGATTTTTGTTTTTATCTTGTGCACATACACTAATTTTATTTCAGTGTACTATGAGGTTATTACGAAGACACTGACCAACGCGCAGCGGAGGTCGATGCGACCGCGTACTGTTTTAGTGTATATTGTCGGTATCCTCGTAATAACCTTATTATTATACATCTTTTCCCCCAAGGATACATATAGGGAATGCCGAAATACAAAAAGTTTAGAACAGATTGAGCGAACTTCATTGAATGGGGGTCATGTCAAACCTTGGTGGCAGCCATGTTTTACGCGCGTAATCGTTCCATATTTTGAATTCGCATTTTCTAATATGGTAGGATGAAAATACCCCGTAAAATATCGCAAAATTACGGCACGCTGTAACTTGTGGTGTTTCGATGACAGTATATAATAGTATATAATTTGAGTTTGATTACTGTTTTTAGTTCGGATTCCACTGCATTTACGGTACCATTCAGTGTTCACCTGTCTATTTGATCATCATTTGATGATAAGTTACCTTCTAATAAATTGATAAAAAGTGGTGGTCGTCACATCACATCGTGTGGATATTGCATGACGGCAACCATCCTCAGATCAAATACTAGTACATAATTTAACAAATAAATTGTCTTAGTTCCCAATGGATACCCATTATGGGTACATTTGGGGACACTTTGGGTATACTATGATAAAGATCATTGGTTTTAAAAATAATTCTCTAATAATTTTTCGTCATTGTTGTTGATAAATTCTACTTTTAATTTCTTCTAGAAAAATAAACACTGGACATGTATTAATCGCAATTACTATCATTATCTGAACGCAGTTCATTTTCACGAGTTATTCACTCAATATACTACACAATTGTATCTGTAAGAACTAAATGGCTCGGGTAGGTTTTGCATTTTGTAGCTTTTTGAATTCCATCCATCCAACTACATGAAAAATGCATATTCCTTATTATCTAAGTGACACGGTACATCGTCACTTGAAACCGAGAAGCTGCGCGTGACAGATAGTCGCGGGATTGCCAAAGAATGATGAGGAAAACTCGTAACTTCAAATATCTCCTGAAATTTGCTATATCTTAAGAAAATTATATTGTTAATTTCCATCGCTTGTCCGCATCACATATTACGTGGTATGAGTTACGGTTAGCAATAAGAGATGTGATCACCGTAAATCGTAAATGCAATGCAAAAAGTTGGTTTATTATTTTGTACGGGCATTCAGCGAAATTTTTACTGTCTTCCGGCCGCTAATTCAGAAATGAGTATAGTACCAAATACGCTAATATTCTTTGTCCTATCACAGCTGTCCGAACCAATCCCGACGACCTAGTCTGCATTTCATTGTTCGATATCAGCGTAACGCGTAAATCTGTCGTACTTGTCCTGGCGTATAGGATCCGATCTCTGGAATCTTTTTTTCGCAGTGCGACTGTAAATCATCACCAGCGTCCATCTTAAAACTAAGTTCGAAGTGAATTCTCGACCTCAGAACCATAAAAAAAACACGGAACGGTTATGTATCAAGACTTCGTTTTTATGATGCTAATTCGCCGACAGCACGCTAGAAATTGTATTAAGACAAATACTGGCTTTACATGATTGTAGTTAATCGTAATGGAGTAGCTGTATTTAGAGTTACACCATATCTATAATGTCATTATTTCCTTTTTTCGACAAATACAATTTACCGTGAAATATATAAACAAATTGATTTTCTAAATAACTTTGTAACCTAGTACTCTAATCGTTTCTATGTGTTGTGTGGCCCGTCCCGTTCCTCTCCGACCAGTTTTACCCGACTATATAAGTGTTCATCTTTTGCGTATGGAGAATGATTATACTCACGTGCCCCGTCGTCGATCACTGTTGTATTTAATCACGGTAAATTAATGATAACATAGCGATCGTTAAAAGATAGGTAAAACCATCATTATCTACACGTACCACCCTCACTATTCAACGTGAATTTACGACGTTCGTGCCGTGTCACCCAGTTCTAAACCTGTCTCATTTATCTTAACTCTACAATACTCTTCCTGCACTCTCGTTATTTTTTTTAACACAAAGTGCAGTTATTTTTGTTGTAACAAATCGAATAATTCAGGAACTGGCATATCGATAGACGTAGCATACCCAAACACCACGTGACTGTATTCAGAAATAAACATGGATGTTGGCGCTGGGCTGTTGCTCTATTTCATATCGTCATCGTGATGCTGTGGTCGTGACGACCGTTGCTATGGCATGTGATACGATGTTCAAGTTATGTGTCACATACAGAAACAGTGTTTATGCTTCATATTTAGTGAGTATGGTGCAAATAAGTTAATCACGTGACTGGCAATCCGTGCTGCTTCTGTGATACAATTTTATGTGTTAATTTGAACTCTCTTCTACTAGATTCATACGGATACAGACGTAAAAATAGCAATATGTTATTCGTCACTTCACTTGTAACCCTGCGTCTTATAAGCGCCGGGCAACGCGTTCGAATTTCGTCTAAAAAAATACACGTGTTGTATATGTCGCACGGGACCCGTATCGAGCGCGACTAGTTGTTCGCTTTAAATACGAACATGTGCATCATGAATATGATAGAAAAATCAATTTCAATATTTCGTTAAATATTGCGTTTGAAGGAAAATAATAGTAATGCCTAGCGCTATATTTTTACGTTTTTCTGAGTCATGATTTGTATGTGTTGCAATTATAAACATACTAGTCAGGTGCACCTCGTCATAAACAAATTATCGAATGTAAATAATTTATGTATCACTAATAGCTGCAAATGTATAATAGTATAATAAAATTTCCGGGAACTTTAGATGCCCGGTTTCCTTTATAAGTTTGTTATATCACGTGATTCTAATTGCGATGTTTACGGTGGCAATAACTTAAAGCCACTCGTGTCGTTTTTGGTGTGTGTTAAATCCCAGGGATTGCACCAAAGAATCACGGGACACTATTGTTTATGTTGTTTACAAAATTAATCTATCTTTTGTTATCCATTGTAATTTTAATTCAGAAAGTAAATCTGTTGTGAGATTAGGCTTAACTGGAAGTGCCCCTTTAAATATAAACTTTTTCAAGCACAACTGTGAACAAGAAAAATGTAACAAACTTGCAATTTTTAAGAGATCGATTACCATACACTTAACAACAATGGAAGATTGGAGGGCGTTGGTCGCCGTGTCCGCGTATGTGCGACTTTACACAAATGTTCACACCAACAGAGGTGGTGTACAGTTTTAGCGACTCGAAAAACTCATTGCCAACCCAGACCGCGGTTGAGGTGGACTTTTGTATTATTATACCGAGCTAATCAGAAACAGAAATTGTGGCACACAATCATGACAATCTTCCTGGTCACGCTCGTAGAGCTGAATGCATGTATGAACACAAATATACAAGTTGAAAGCGTTTTATCATGGATGCCTTTTTCTGTCGTGGTTGTTTTGATAAAGCTAAAGCATCCGGCGCCATCATGGGTGCAGCTATGCGCTACACTATGTTCAGTTCGCATTAGAATACTGAAACGAGCTTCACCGACCGGAGATGCAAACTGCTTCAGTATAGGTTTACGCCACCATTCTCAATGTACATAATATGTCGATATACTGTCAAAACACACAAACTACGTAACAAAATAAATCAAAACCATGGCGTCACAAGGCAAAGTCCTCGACTCTCACATTTTTTAGGTAGACGAACTACGCAATCGCAAATCGAATGTCCCAAAGCGCCGAGCTAAGCGCGCTGGCGAAACGCACGACAAGCTGGAAAAGCGCGACTATAAATCACGCGAAATCTTAGTTTTCTCTCCAATAAGATAGTCAAATAGTGAACGCAAACTAATCAGTTCATGAATATTGCCGCGTATGTGTTCCCTTGACAAGTTATCAGGTAAATTCAGGAGGAAGGTACCCGGATGGAGATGGACATACGAATACTAGTAGGTCAGCAGGTCTGTAATGCGCGAATCTGATTTGCTGACATGGTCATGACGTGTAATGATGTGTGTTACAATCCAATGCGTTCTTCTAATGAAATCACGAGTACGGGTTTTGACCTGGGTGGGACTTGCACTCACTAATTCCGCCGGTGACTACTTCGAGAGCTCCCAATTACCTAATTAAAGCTTGGCAACGTCTCAGCGTGTACCCGTTGGTCTGCGCATGGAACTATAGTCTGCGCTACAGTCAAAGTCGCCATCTTTGTTAATATGAGACCCATAACTCGCGCATGCGTGGCGCGACGATCATCGCCCTTTAAATTGTCATAAACAACATTGCCAAACAAAATGTCAACGTTTTAATAGCAACAACCAGAATCCCTACGACTCTCTGAAAGGCTAGCTCGTTTTTTTGGAGGGGAGGGGGTCGATTGGTAGAGAAAGTTGAAACGTAAATTGAACGCGGAAGTAAGTAAGGTCACCGAACTTCCATAATTGAAATTCTATATTCGACGGTAATCAATGACGAGTCCGACGCAAAAGTTAATACAACGATACAATGAAACGCACTCGAATAAATACCAGGCTCCCATTGCTAAAACAATGTCAAATACTAAAAGTCGTGTGACATTATGAAAAAAAAAGTGTTTATTTTAAACTCTCAGTAACGAAAATAGAATGATTTAGTCAGTGGGCTGAAATTCTCATACCCACGGACAGAAGGTCAGTCACAGTGTGAAGGTAGTAAAACGGCAGTAAAACGCACAAGTTCAAGGGCTCATTAAATACTCATTGCTAATCATTAAAAATTGGCCTTGACTATTGACCATTGACCCTGGTTATTTTATAAAGGCATATTTGGGAAGCGCTAGGATGTCCTCCAGAGACCGTGATTGTACACCCAAGGCCCCCATGGATCGGAAAAACGTGAAGTACTTGTTAGGAATCGGGATGGGTCCTGATCAGCTCAGTGTAGCGATTTTCATTAGGAATCTAACTCATTCAATATATCAGTTGTTTTTTTATTTGCATATTGAAAAGTTTATAAGATAGCAGGGTACAAAAAGACGCCACTGTGTCATTGAACGGACTACCAGTGGTGTGAGTAAGACTAACATTTTAACAATAATAACTTTATTACACTACTATGCCATCAGAGGGCGCAGTATGGTAAATAAAATACAAATCATAAGAAAAAATACAGTAGCTAGACTATAAGATAAAATTAAAAATAAAAGATGTTAAAAGCTTAATAGGAAAAACAAATTAAGGATAGTTACAGGATTCTCCCAATGTAGAGGTGATAGCTATCATATACCTGATTTCTGTTTTGCCTTATTTAGAAACTTTGCCAGGGGTATGAAGCACGTCATTATTTTAATGAAATTATCTGTTTTCTTTAGTTTATTTTTAATTCCTATTTCCTGAAACAGCTCCCCTCTTTCTTTATTGAGAAATTCACAATCTAGGATAAAATGTTGTTCGTCCTCAACTGAATTTGTATTACATTTTTTACAAAATCGCTCATCCACAGGAATTTTTGGTCGTTGTTGTCTGCCTCTT